TAATGTGTGTACTGAGAAATTATGTGGATGTATGGAAATAGAATTTCCCGCAATGTCCAACTCTGTTAATAATTTCTGCAAAAAGTCTATATTACCCTCGTTTATTTCTCTAATTTTCTTGTCAATAATACCATTATGAACTAAATTCCCTCTCTTCATTTTTCTTCTTTTTCCCCCTGTTACTCATTTCTCCTTGGTCTCTCTCTTCTTCATCCCATTGAGGACCCCCTCCTTCAACTGCATTACCAGCAGCCATCCATCCTCAATATATATATATATATATATATTTTTTGTGTGTGTGGAAGCAACCTTTGTTACCCGACCCGAACCAACCATGAAAGCCCACACACATCCACATGTACATATACATATATATATGCATGCATCTTATTTGCTCTGAAAAAAAAAAAAAACTAAAGTCCACAACACAACACAACACAGTAGACAGAGATTGTAGAGAGAGAAAATAAGTATAAATTTCCTGAAAAATGGTAGCAAAAACTACCACCCCGTACCTATTTCAAAGACATTCGATCATTGACCCAATTGGATCTTCGATCATCCGCAATCATCAGAAGCTAGCCCCACCAAAAACATCAACTATTATGACATTTACAAAATATAACTTATTCCAAATCAATTACCTGTTTCAGTGGGTGTGTACACAATATGTGGGTATGAAGCGGTTCCATGGTGGGAGACTAAGCTGTAACATCTTACATGGCCTTCTAAGTGCTTTGGTTTTTTTTTTTAAAAAAAAAATTAAATCAAACATATTCTCTCCTTTTCTTTATTTCTTTATATTCTTGTTGTTGTTTTGTATACAACAGAATTTAATCTATTTAAATACAGTGAAGATTGTCCAACAAAACTACATGTAGGTAAACTGTAATTAATTCATAATTTTTTATAAGAAAAACTTTCACTAAGCACAAGAATAAACTTACACCATACATACAGGTAACAGGAGAGTTGTACCACCATTATTGCTCTTAAATGCATTTTTTCCTAAAAAAAATATTAAAACTTTATAACACAATGGTTAAAGAGGTGGAATAGCATCTAGAGGAGATTGATAGTATAAGCCACCACAAGCAAAATATTATTTTATCTTATTTTTGCACAAGATAGCGGTTAGTATGTATGTTAATAGTTATATTACAACGCAAGTTAATGCCTCATCATAGATTCGAATTTGAAATCTCATTCACTCTAACACCTAAGTGCCTTCTTCATGCCTATTTAAAAATTGTTTGAGGTCAAGTAAAATATAATTTACCGGCATCTACTAGTAACATTTTGTGTAAAATTGACACAATTTTATCTACTGGCATATTTTAAAAATTGTCAATTAATCACAATCGTTTTTTTTTTTTTTCAAACGATGCTGAGAGAAAAATTCAATTGTAATAAAATTTTCTCCTCTATGGAGGCTTGGATCATTCAAATTTTTTTTTTATCTCATTTTGAGATCTTGTAATACCATTTTATCAGATTGATTCAATTTTTTATTGGTTTTGCAATGAAGTTTTTCTTTCCGTTCTAAAAAAAGGGCCAATTATAAATAATTAAAAAAAAAAACTCCAAAGTTTGACCTTTTTAACAAAACAAACCCTGAGTATTTAATTTTGTCAATTTAGACTCTAATATCTTAATTTATTTTCAATTTAAATCATTCTTCTATTTTTATTAAGTAAAAACAATATGAAAAAAATATTTTAGTCATTAAACTCAATGTAAGTATACATAAAATGTCTAAAATATTCTTTTTATTGAGTTTAATGACTAAAATATCATTTTTTTTAGTTGATTTTACTTAATAAAAATAGGCAAATGATTTAGATTAAAAATAAATCAAAAGTTTAGGATTTAAATTGACAAAACTAAAAATTTATTGTTTACTTTGATATAAGGATCAAACTTAGGGGTTTCCGAACAAGGATTTTACATTTCAAACTGGAGATCAAACTAACCCATAATTAACTAACAGATTGGTGCAGATTGGACAATATTTTATACAATCCTAGAGCAGACTATACAATGTGTTTGGTTTCAGTTTTTTGAATTCAGTTTTCTGAAAATTGAGTTTTCTGTTTTTCGTTTTTTTTTTTAGTGAATATTTTTTAAATTTTAAGTAATTTTTTTACTTTTTTAGATACGCCTTACTTAGATGTATCTAAATAGTAAAATATTTGTGAAAAAATATTTTAAAATATTCATAAATACACAAAAATACAAAAAAAAAAATGTAGTGAATTTTCATATTTTTGTGTATGTTTTGGTATATAGTATATTTTTTTAAGTTTTTTTCACAAATATTATATTCTTTTTAAGTGTATTTATATTAGGTGTGTCTAAAAAAAAATACTAAAAATATTTTAAAAAATTCATTGAAAACATTAAAATACAGAAAATAAAAAAATAAAATTTTTTGAAAATTATTTTTTGAAAACTATAACCAAACAAGCTAGTATTCTCTTAAAAGTACACATAGTGGTATCTCCCACACATATATTCAAATTAAGAATAAAAGAGTACAACGTTTTTAGAAATGTGGAATTGTAAGCGTGAAATTCCATAGTTTTGATCAACAAATTTACAAAAATGTGATGATATAAATAAACATAAGGGTACTTACGTGTAGGTCCTAATAAGTGGACAAATTGTCTAATAGGTCATATGGGAAAAATTTATCATAAAAAAAAGTCACTAATTGTAAGTTTTAGCGACAATTTATAAAAATCATGACAAAAAAAAGTCAGTAATTGTCAATTTTTAGCGATGTATGTAAAAAATTGTCACAAAAAAATTATTTTTAGCGACAATTTTACCAAGACTTGTTTTCAATAGGACTTGATGGGAATTAAGTCCAACTATTAGGACCTATTGGTAGTAAGTGGACTAATCGTCTAATAGGTCCTATGAAAAAAATGTCATAAAAAAGGTCACTAATTGTAAGCTTTAGCGACAATTTCTAAAAATCATGACAAAAAAAATCACTAATTGTCAATTTTTAATGATGTATGTAAAAAATTGTCAAAAAAAAAAAATATTTTCAGCGACAATTTTACCAAGACTTATTTTTAATAGAACTTGGTGAAAATTAAGTCCAACTATTAAAACCTATCGGTAGTTTACCCAATATCAAAATAGATTTATTATGGAGAGGACTACCCGGGTCAACATCTTCCATGGGACTTTTTAATATGGCATAAGATTCATCAGTGAGACCTTATACTAAATTTTTCTTTATTTTAAAGTAATAATAATCGATATTAACCCTACATTTTGGGAGATTGGAGCAGGTGCTGTGCCATAAGGCACAACATGGTGTGAGGCTTGTTCGAGACGTGTCATGAACCTCTCTTCATTATTTGAATCGTTTATATTGTAAGATTTGTTGAGTATATTATTTACATAAAAAAAATAGGGTTAATTGGACATGCATGACCCCATGATTAGTCTTAATCGTTTTTCAAAAAAATATCAAAACTATACTTACCGTTTATTTATTTTTAAAACAAATGTGGTGTTGTTATAAGATTACATATGTCCAGTTGATTTGTTTTTTTTTTTTTTTTTTTTTTTTTTTTTTTTTTTTTTTTTTTTTTTTTTTTTTTTTTTTTTTTTTTTTTTTTTTTTTTTTTTTTTTTTTCTGTTTTGATATGTTTGCTCTGGCTACTCAGCTAGCAGCAGCATCGGTTTGGGGTCTAGCAGCAGTAGTGGTTCAGTGGGTCTAATTGGTCAGCTGTGCTGTTGTTGCTATGGTGTTTTGGTTTGTTTCTTTCGTTGGTTTCTCACCAACTCTGGGGTGCTACCAAATGATAGGATGAGTTTTTTGGTGCCAACCTAGTTGGGATGCTTTAGCTCATTTTGATGCTCTTGCACTTCCCTTTTCTTTAATTGTATAATTTGTTTTGTATCTTGTACTTGATCCTTACATCAATAAAGTCTCTTTTTTACCGATCAAAAAAAAATAAAAAAATAAGGCACAACACCTGCTCCAAGTCTATTTTGTAGTGTATTTTTAAACAATTTTTATGTTTTGATAGAGAAACCTTTATATTATATAGTGTTTGGGTGTGTAACTCCGTTTGAGAATTGATTCTTTTAATTATTTTTGTTATTTTTTACGAAAATACGTGTAACAAAATAGAGAGTGATGTGATTGGATATTTTATCTTTTTGAATATTTTAACCACAAAAGCTCACCCCAAATGGGGCCTTAATATGCACAAAGGTAATTTAAAAGAAATTTAGAATGGGCTTTAGGTAATTTGTGGTGTGTTACGTATTTTTATAGTAAATATTACACAATTTGTGATTGAGAAATAAATTTACACAATTTTGTGGTAATATTAAGTATTTTACGGTATTGTTACACATTTTGTGAACAAAAAATGTTTTGATAAAAAAAAGTGTAATATTATCACAAAAATACATAACACTGCCACAAAAGGCGTAATGTTATTTCTCAATTATAAATTGTCTCAACTTCTATAAAATATATATATATATATATGTGTGTGTGTGTGTGTGTAACATTTACTACAAAAATACGTAAAACACCACAAAAACATGTAATAAGGTGCATGTGGTATATACCCTTAGAGGAGTGTATACCATAAGATTTCCCATCTACATATACATTTAAGGAAATCTTATGGTGTGCACCCTTATGCACCCTACCAAAAAAATATGTAACTTTAGTTCAAAATTTCGTAACATCAATAACAAAATACGTAATCTTGTCACAATTTGACATAATCTAAAATATAATGGATGATGTTGCAAAAGTTTGTGATTTAATTATGATATTTTTTGTTATGTCAATTTGTGACAAGATTATGCATCTTGATAGTTCACTTTGATGCTTATTGCACTCTCCTCTTTATTGATGTATCTTTTTCATACTTTGTATATTTTCATCAATAAAGCTTTTTTTGCTGATCCCCCCCCCAAAAAAAAAAAAAGAAGTATCAATTAGTAGCAGAGCACTTTAAGGCATGCAATGTCAATCACATCACAAATGATCTCACATTCACTTTTACATATCAAAATTATAATATATTCTTGACAATGACTTCTTCCTATCAACTCTGCTCTTGTATTTCAACTTATTAATTTTTATTTTTTATTAGAATGTTGAATTTGTATAGTATAGGTTTAAAGTTTAATAATTCTATGAACCTTGAAAATTCACCTATAATTTTATCGTGAAAGTGAACTGGAGGGTGTAGATTTAAAGTTACTTTTTTTTTTTCTGGATCGGCAAAATGAAGAGAATTTCATCCACTTTTTGAATTGTGGCCTAGGTAAGATGAATCTCATCCACTTTTTGAATTATGGGTAAAAGTCTAGGTCCTTCTAAGTGCGTAACATAATTGTTTGAAGTTTGTAGAATATGAATCACTCCATAACAAATGTGGTCTATAAATTAAATGTTTTGATCAATTTTTTGCAGTACATAGTGGTGCTGAAACACCTAATTTAGTCACTAATCACCAGTCCAACTGCCATCTTGATCCCCTGTAAGAGTATCAATTAAAATGAGCATCAAATTACCAATCTCGATCCCTATAAGAAAACTGAGAACCAAGCAATTAAACACCCCCTTACCCATCTTGATCCCCTGTAATAGTAGCAGCAAAGCACTTTAAGGCATGTAGTGCCAATCACATCACAACCGATCTCCCATTCACTTCCACATATCAGAATTACAATATGGTATTGGCAAATGACTTCTTCCTATCAGCTCTGCTCTTGTATTCTCATTAAATTTTTTTCTTTTTCTTTTCTCTTTTAACAGTCAGTCGTGAAGCTGGTATAGAATGTTTGAATTTGTCTATAAATACATACATACATACAGACCATCTCTTCTGGCAAAAAAACCACCTATTTCCAGTGTATTCATCATGGACACACTAATTCTTGTGTTACTTTTCCTTTCTTTTTCTTCTTCTTCTTCTTCTTCTTCCGCTCATGACTCAAGCATCCATGTCGAGTCCTGCGTTCTACGTGTTTGGAGATTCAACTGTTGACGCAGGAAACAACAACATTGAAGATGGTATCAAAGCAAACTTTTACCCTTATGGCGTCGACTACAACAATCAATCCACCGGCCGTTTTACAAACGGATTAACTGCTGCTGATTTCATGGGTAACTACTATTTTCAAGTTTCTCTGAGTTTTGAGTTTTGTTCGACTAAAACACCAATACACAACCTTCATAGCAAAAACAAAACTTGAACCCCAAAAACTCAAAGAAACTTGAAAATAGTAGTTACCCATGAAATCAGCGGCAGTTAATTCGTTGGTAAAACAGCCGGTGGATTGATTGTTGTAGCCGACGCCATAAGGGTAAAAGTTTGCCTTGATACCATCTTCAATGTTGTTGTTTCCTGCATCAACAGTTGAATCTCCAAACATGTAGAACGCAGGAACCGACGTGGATGCTTAAGTCATGAGCGGAAGGGAAGAAGAAGAAAAAGAAGAAGAAAGAAAGACAGAAAGAAAAAGTAACACAAGAATTAGTGTACCCATGATGAATACAGTGGGAATAGGTGGCTTTTTTGCCAGAAGAGATGGCCTGTATGTATGTATGTATTTATAGACAAATTCTAACATTCTATACCAGCTCCACGACTAACTGTTAAAAGAGAAAAGAAAAATAAAAAAATTTAATGAAAATATAAGAGCAAAGATAATAGGAAGAAGTCATTTGCCAAGAATATATTGTAATACTGATATGTGAAAGTGAATGGGAGATCGGTTGTGATGTGATTGGCACTGCATGCCTTAAAAGTGCTTTGCTGCTAATTGATACCCTCACCCATCAAGATGGGTAATTTGGTTCTCATTTTAATTGATACACTTATGCTATGTTTGGTTGGAGGATTTGGGAAGGAATTTGGAAAGGGAAATAGAAAATGTAGGTAAAATGAGAATAAAATATACCTAAATTTCACCTAGTTTTACACACCTTTTCTCTTTCTCTTTCCATTTCCAAATCCCTTCCCAAATCCCCCAACCAAACGCAGCATTACAGGGGGTCAAGGTGGCAGCTGGACTGGTGACTAGTGACTAAATTAGGCATACAAACTTATGATAGTTTATTTTATAAAATGGACATTATAGTTTAAAATTATATTTACCACTCATTTTATAAAATAAAATATGATTAATTAGTGTCTATGAATGTTCAATCAAACTAATTTTTTTGTATATATATATATTTTCGAGACCTACGAGATTAACGATTTAGATTATTGTCATAAGCCCAATGGAACTCACAAAGTGGACAATGATGGAGTCTTGAGGGAAGCTTCTCTCAATATGTGTGTGTGTGTGTGTGTGTGTGTGTTTGCAAAGAAACCATTAATGGAATCAAACATAGGTAAATCTCGTAATGTGTGGGGCGCATTTTTTTTTAGAGTTATGTGTTCAATTCTACGTAGCAGAATAGTACTCTTTCTGTCTAGAGCAATCACAATAGCCATCAAAACAGATTCTTAATTTTCACATGTAAAATGAAACCAAGTTGAACAATAGATAAACAACAAATTATTAACAAATCCATCAGTGGAAGGCAGACCAATTACCTAATCAACCATTGCAGCAAATAAAATCACAACTTTTTATGAGCTAATCGAACTCTACTTCAAGCCAAGGCATATGTACCTGAAACAAAAGGAAGAATAGAAAATATAAGTAAGCAAGCTCCATTATCCAAAATTAACCCCCTAAGAATTGCCCATTGTTTGTTATTAAAAATAAGATCCAACTCTCACTGTTTGATTCACCAATTTGAATATACATGTTTTATAGAGGGGCCAATTTGAGAGAGAATAGACAACTGCATGCTCTTTACAACTATCAATTAGTAACCAAACAAATGTGACATTTCAATCCAAAAATGTGAGTGCCAAAAAACATGAAAAATCATTTCTACGAACATATGAAGAAGCAAACCAAGCTGAAGGTAGTAAATAGCAAATAAGCACAGTCATTGTTTCAACCTTCTATACTGAGTGACAATTTTTTAACATGAAAGATTCATTCGTAGAAAAAGACCTATCTCATCTTAGAGCAGAAGAACAAATAGAAGTCACCCATTTATAGAAACTCATTTCATTGAAAAAGACTTATGTCATCTCATAGTAACCTATCTCATATTCATATAAATGAAATCAAAACCACAAAGAAACACAAACAATTAACTTCTCTGCGCTCCTCTTTCAGTCATCCATAAAGAAATTGAAAGAAAAAAAATTCAATCAATACTACATAAACAAACCTACTATAAGAAATGAGTAAATTTAACAATATTAAAAATGTGTAAATTTATGTCAGTAACTTACAAATAACAAAATTAAATTTAAAAAAATTTCGCAAACTAAAAACAGATTGAACAATTTAATTCTCAATGGAAGCCAAGCATCCTATTAAAGAATTAGGATACCTTTAATGGGTTAACATGGTGCACTGAAATGCTAAGAAGAACAGCTGCAAAATAAATAAATAAAACAATCAAATAGCTCAAACTATTGAAATCCACCCATAAGCAAACTATGAAACCAACCTTTTGAATCCATTTAATTTGCTCATGGGAAGCAGCCAATCCATTGCCAGAACAAAACAAAAGAAAACAAAATTTAGATTTAAAATATATATATATATATTGATTCCCAATAGAAGCCATCGAAATCATCACATACTGTCAAAGACACACGCTCACACACAACATCACATAACATAACAGATTCCTGGGCAAAGACACACACACACACACACAACATCACATAACATAACATATAATATTGCCAAATTTTAGTTCCAAAACTTAATCTAAATTCATCAGGTGGACTGCGACCTCTTCCCTGAGAACAACAGCTGCAAAAAATAAATAAATAAATAAAACAATCAAATAGCTCAAACTATTGAAATCAAAATACATGGGTGTAACTTTTTCTTATGTAAACAAACGCAGCAAAATTGAACCTCACTTTTTGATAAATATTTCTTCACTTCTTTATAATTTTCCTCTTACATTTAACCCCACTGCACTGATCCCCCATTGTAATGTACTTCATAAATAATGAACGATACTTATTAAGATATTAATTAATAAAACATTAAATACTTGTATATTTCTCAAAACTTACTTTTATGGAAAAAGAAGAAAGAAGAAGAAAAAGAAATTATAACCAAAAAAAAGAGTTTGATTATGTAACAAGATAAACCTTGAATTTTTATTTTTGTCAATTTATACTTTCAACTTTTAATTTCTTTTCAATCCAAACCATTTGACAATTTTTGTTAAGTAAAATCGACAAAAAAATTGATATTTTGGTCATTAAACTCAATGAAAATGAGTATTTTTTTAATTTTTTACCAAATTAATTTTTAGTATGTGTTTGGATGATGATCATGCAATGAGTGGTTGTTTTTGTGATATTTTTGGATGGTATCATGTAATAGATGATTATTTTTGTTGATATTTTTAGATGGCTATTATGTAATAGATGGTTCTTTTGTTGTTAAAAGATATTTTTAGATGGTTATCATGTAATGAATCATAAGAGCCAGTGCTAATAATTGCGATTTATATATGGAGTTGAAAGTTTAATCATGGACCATTCATACATGTAACTAGAAACATGAAAGTTAAAATACTGTAATTTTAAGAATTCTAAAGCAGGACTACTAGCCAAATTATCAGATCCAAGGCACCCCCAACATAATGATGATTAAAACTTTCAACTCCATATATAAATCGCATTATTAGCACTGGTCTCTTAAGATTCATTACATGATAACCATCTAAAAATATCTTTTAACAACAAAAAGAACCATCTATTACATAATAGCCATCTAAAAATATCAACAAAAATAATCATCTATTACATGATAACCATCCAAAAATATCAACAAAAACAACCACTCATTGCATGATCATCATCCAAACACATACTAAAATTAATTTGGTAAAAAAATAAAAAATACTCATTTTCATTGAGTTTAATGACCAAAATATCAATTTTTTTGTCGATTTTACTTAACAAAAATGTCAAATGGTTTGGATTGAAAAGAAATTAAAAGTTGAAAGTAAATAATTGACAAAAATAAAAATTCAAGGTTTATCTTGTTACAATAATCAAACTCTTTTTTTTGGTTATAATTTTCTTCTTCTTCTTCTTCTTTTTTCCATAAAAGTAAGTTTTGAGAATATACAAGTATTTAATGTTTTATTAATTAATATCTTAATAAGTATCGTTCATTATTTATGAAGTACATTACATGGGGATCAGTGCAGTGGGGTTAAATGTAAGAGGAAAATTATAAAGAAGTGAAGAAATTATTTATCAAAAAGTGAGGTTCAATTTTGCTGCGGTTTGTTTACATAAAGAAAAGTTACACCCATGTA